GAACTGTGAACGCGACAGGCAGAGTACAGCCGGGAAGTTAGATTTGACCACCAGAAACGACGTCCTGGGAATTCAGGAATAGAAAATTAAACTGCTTAACAACGGGACGAGCAAACACTTCTGGAAATACAAGACACATCAACAGGTGAAGTAAAGGTAGGAAGGACAGGATTGGAAAACAGGAACAGGAGCAGACGCCAATATGTCATATTTCTGAACAGTATGTAGGTGGGACAACGCAAGCACCTATATTCAAGCCAGGAACTCATTTTTTGAACGCCGACAGGAGCATATTATTTAGTACGGACATACGCTCGTAAATCCTTAAATATCATTACTTGTAATGAAATCTATTTCAGTCTTTAATCGAATAAAGAGGCACACCCTACAACAGCAACCATAGCAGCACAAGTGAAGCGAGCTAGGCTTGAGTTCAGTCTTGCTTTAGCAGTGGTAACCTTCAATGTCTGGAAAGCGACGTACCGTGTGGTATAACTTCAATCTAACATTAGTGAGAGAACAAGCATAGAACACGAATGCAACATTATACCAAAGAGCAGACGGGAATAACGACTAAAATGCAATACCAACAGAGGAAATACACATACGGATAGGACATCCGACCTCATCACAGGAACAATAGCATTACAACTAAACGACACTCTCAGCATTACATAATAGTGCAGATCACAGCCCAAAAGCCTGCCTCCTAAAGCTGCGCCATTGCAAAGCCAGCTATTTTCCGCTCTGCTGACCAGGAGCCACAGTGGCTACATCAAGGTTAGAAACATTCGGGAAGCTTCAAGCTGTACATGTCCCTCCGCCCTTTCAGATCAAGCTGTTCCGCCAACTTTGACACTGCTATAACTATACTGTTGATCTGAAAGCTTTGGACGTTACCACGCTTCCTCTCGAAAGACTACGCCACACCGAAACTGCTCTCTGAGCTCTTTCGCCCGGCCCCCTTTTGTCAGGCCATCAGCTATTTGATGCCTGGTGGGAACCCAAAGTAAGCGGGTCTTACCCGGTGTGTCTCGCGTAGTTAAAATCTGCCGGAGAAGCACCGCTTGAATGACACTGGACTTATCACTGATGTGCTGCCCATCCTTATGAACCGTATCGTAAATAGACTTACAATCAGTCACCAACACCATGGACACCAAATCATTCCATCCATCATCTTCCACGCTACTGATGACTTCAGAACCGAACTTAAGTTCACTAGTCATGACTTGGGAGAAGTGGCCCATGCCTAGCGCCATAAGTGCAGCGTGGTTTTCAGCAGCGAAGCTGGATTCTATGACACGCTTGTTAGTACTGCTTCGCCAGTCCAAAATGTTGATGCGCCCAGGCTCTCCCTTTACCTCGGTGCATCCCCATCGAACAAACCCCACAACTCCTCCCTTTTGAGAGTACACAAGTTTCTTGTCAGTGGGGCCCTGCAAAATGTCGTCAGCATCTCTCTCGGATATTTCCACCCCCACGCTCGAGTACAGCCCCGCGTCCGAATACACCACCAACTGCGCATCTTTCCCTAGATCTTCGAACACGAGCTGCATTCGATGCTGCTTAGCTTCACGAACTGCTTTATTAGCCCGAACAAGATCTCCTACCCTCAAATCAGCAATTCTCTTCTGAAGCTGATTGGTTTCGAAACTCAAATCGGGCCTAGACTGGGTGGCAATCCACTGCAAACTACCAACAATGGACCTATACTCAGCACGTTCCTCTTCAGTGGCATGTAGCTGGGGCATCCCTTTACGCTCCTTAGCTATCTCCATTTCTTCCAAGCGGCCAGCGATAAAACCATCTTGAGACAGAGTGATGCTTCGTTTGCCATTCTCTTCCCTAAGACGAATTTCCTTACCACAGTACGTAACACCACAGGCCTTGTCCGCAACTCGTTCCCATGTCCCAAAAGGAAAACGCTTCCACAGCCTTACAAGCATGCTCAGATCCATCATGGCAAACCATCAGGTCGTCAACATGAACCACCATAAGACCAATTAAAACCCCTTGAGGATTTCTGAGCATGAACACTGCGGGGTCCACTAGAGACTTGCAGAAACCCAACTCTTCAGTAAGGACTCTCGCGAGTTCTTCGTACCACGCCCTAGGGGCGTCTGGCCTGCCGTACACCGGTTTAAGGAGTCTCAACAGCTGGTTAGGCTTCACCCCCTTGAGTCCTTGCTTCGGAGGCTTCATGAACATGGGCTCTTTTCCCACTAAAGGGGCTCCCTGAAGAAAAGCGTTACTAATGTCCCCGATAAACCAATTCTGAGCCCAGCCGTAACTCATTGCCATATGCAAGAACAGCATTGTCGAAACTCGTTCCACAGTGGGAGAATCGACTTGCACCTGTCCCGTCCGTGCATCCGGACACAAATGTCCTTGAAGACATAACCGGGCCTTTGCCCGGGTAGGTAAAGGCTTGCCTTGCTCATCCATCAATCCGGCATTCTTGTTACGATACACATATCTGCTAGGCAACACTCTACTGGGCATCTCTCTCAGCACTCGTTCACTCTCCTGCTCGCTCAAAATTTCACAACTGTCGTACTGCTGCCAGCTGTTCCATTCTTTCTCTTGGGCTTCTTCATACAGCCCACGCTCACTCTCAGGGATTCTCTCGTACGGGATTTCCTTATCCATCATACGCTTCAATTTGTTCTTGCCCATACTTTTCCCATGATGAACAGCATGAACAACATGACTAGGGTTGGGTCCCCGATGCTTCTTCAAACCTATGGGAACATCTTCCAAACACATGTCACGCTTGCTACGTCTCTGGAACACAGTGATGAGCAACTCAGCAGGCGTTCTTGGCAAGTAGGCGTTGGGTTTTCAAGGTCGACCCATTTAACATCTTTTTCAAGGCAACTCCACACACCATCAAACCGGGCCCACGTAGTACGATAGGGGTAACTACCGACCTCATGCTTAGCTTCGGGAGTGCGAAAAGCCCAAGCCTTGTGACTAACAACCACGGGGTTTCCAGCCGTGTCGCTCTGCCAACCTGCTTTGGAAATTAGCTTAGTCAAAGATTGGGGAAGTTTATCAACTCCTTGGCTGAGATCCCCAACTTCACCCGCAAGCTCCTGAGAGAAAGGTTGCTGCTCGACCTCCATGAGTTCTTCAGTAGGGTCGGATTGGAGAGTGAGGTCTTCAAAAGTGGCTTCGTTGGGCACCTTCTTAAACATGGCAATAGACTTTTGAATTTGGGGGTCCCCAAAATGCCTTTCATCTCCACTAGCCTCGCGGAGATGTTCTCCAGCCACCAAGAAACAACGACCACCTATGGCAACCCAAGCATTTCGACCCTGAAGTCCAACCACATACCCGGGCAACCCATCTACTGGGCTCCCTCTTACGTTCTCCTCTCCAAAAGAACACCAACTGGCCAACCCGGGGATTCGTGATCTTGCGAACCCTATTATGGGCAGTACGAGCCAACATTTGTCGGGCTTGGGACTTTATGTGTTCAAGCTTAGCATGGTACCTGTACTGCATTCTCTTTGCCACTTAGCTTTCAGGATCACCAACCCTAAGATGAAACGCATTAGGCTCACCCTGGCTACACATTTCACCAAACACTCTAGGTTCTTTCCCAAACACCAACGCCACAGGAGACCAACCATGTTCTCTAACCAGCGTGTTCTTAGCCCAAACGGTTTCTCTAGCAACAGCCCGCATGCTCTCTCTCCCTTTTGGGTTCGTTTGTCTAATGACAGCGCGAAGCATGTCTTTAATGGTTTGGTTGCGTCGCTCAACCTTTCCAGCTTGCCAGTGCGCCGTTCCGGCGATCGAAACGAGTGATGTACCCGCTTCAGAAACCTGTGTCCAAAACTCTTTCCCACGGAAACCGCCTTCAAAGTCAACCGAGACCTGTATCGGAGGTCCAGCCCACTTCGACCAGGCCCGATCAAAAGCTTTGTTGAGTTCAAGAGGACTGTGGTCTCTAAGGAGCTCAAGGATATGATAGCTAGTGGCACGGTCAATGATGGACAAGTACCAATGACTCTCCATGGCCCCATCATGCACGCAAATGCAATCTAAATGCACCTCATCTCCGAAAGTAATGGAACATGGAGGAATGTTGGTAGCTCGATGGGTCTTAGGTTTCGTGGAGTGCGCACATGACAAACATCTCATCCATTCGACAGCTTCAACAACTTCCTGTTTAGCCCCTCCCAGCTTGAGAAAACGCTGAAAATCCTTCTTACCAGGATGACCTAAGTTGCAGTGAGCCTTCTTCAGACCCTCTTGAATCTCTTTAGCCAACTTTCTACCGGGCGGAATCTCAAAACTTATGCCGTCGTGAGCCAGGGAGCTTCTCAGCGAGTTCCCGGACACGGCATTTCGACCATCACCACTGGGAGCATCTTCGACCAACTCTTCATCCTCTGAGTCCTCCAGGGGATCTGTCATGGGAGCATCAGGGCTGGGGTCTGCAGAAGTAGACCCCACAGCAAAAACTGCACTCCACCGAGCTAAAGCTTTAGCAACGTTCTTTTCATTCCATCTCAAATCCTGAATCAGTTCCCGCTGTTTGCTGTGTCGGATACGTGCTGCAACTTGTCTCAGCATGCGCCTTATCCTACCAGGATCTTTACGCTTCAAAGTCTTCAGGAACCCTTTGCATACTGCAGCTGCAACACTGGAGCCACTCTTGGACGTGTGGGCATCTACAGCACCACACCTCAGAGCAATCTCTTCACACACCTCAACAGAAGTGCTCATCCACAGAGTGGGCTTCACAGCAGCAAGGCGACTAGATCCTGAGGGATGCATTCTACCAGAACTCACGACAGCATACACCTCAGGGTGGTTCAGGATGCGGTTCAGAGGCCCCTCTTTGAACGAAGCACTTGCAACAGCGGCTTCAGCAAGGGCGTCGTCTCCTCGCTTAAGTTGCATATCGAAAACCTTTTCAGTCATGTCAACAATCCAACTCTCTCTCTCTCTCTCACTTTACGAGCCCTTCTACTCACCTGGGAGGATTTGGATTGAAGGTGGTTGCAAGTTTGCCACAACTTACGAGGACACGACAAAACAACCAAGCGAGGTTTGCAGCGATCTATCCACTCAAGAAGCTTCTGACAGCCATCAGCATCATACAGAGCACCATCCAACCCCAAGTCCACAGGACGGGCCGCACTCCATCCCCAACGATTGAACTTGTGTGTGACTTGTGCTTCTCCGGCAAACACCGTGCTTGCGCAGCTCCTCGGGGGCCAAGTCGGTCCGGATGTGGATCGCGCTCACACACTCCTCCTTTCGCTTCGGGGCAACGAACTTGCTGGCCATCACTCCGAACGGTATCGCGCCGAGAGTCACTCGAAGAATCCGCTCTAGCACTTGAAGAATGAGCCACACTGCTACCGTTGCTAACATGCAGAGTACGCACACATTTGCTACCTACTTCATCCACTTCATTACGTGGCTCCTGGTTCATGGACGAAGTGTTGCGCACAACTTTGCTACTCCCAAAGGTCCTGATCTCTGAAGCTGGAGGCAGCGGAAAGCCTAGCTCGTTCAAGGACTTCTTCATGTCAGCATCGAGGTCCTTGACCGATCTCGACGTATAGCATGACAAGCACCACCTGGTTCCGGCCCACGGCTGTGTGGCATGTTCGTTCTTGGGATCGAGGAGGTAGGGGGTGTGCTTGGTGTCCACGTTCTCGCCAACCACACGCCGCCCCTGAGCATCTTTTCGAAAAACCTTCTTGTCGGGGTCATCCTTCGCGATCCAGAGCTCACCTCCTTCGAAGTTTCCGAAAGTCACAGTGGCCGTGACTGATCCTGTTGCAATATGGGTGGCTTTATGAAGATTCGTCTTCACGTTCCTCAAAACGACAAAAGATGTCCAATGCTGAAGCTCAGCCTTTTCTCGCATGAACATGTTGATGTATCGAATGGTGGCTGGGAACTTTTTAGAAGTCTTTGCAACCCCAAAGAACCCTCCGTGAGCCCAGACGCCAGCCATGAGACCGCGTCTCCCTTTGGAGGTGCCACCATTGATTGCCCTCTGCCGGTTCGGATTGACATCAGGCAGCATCTCCACCAACTTTTGGAGACTCGCATACTCAAAAGCTTTGGCTTCCAGCAGTTGTTCAGCCAGCACTTCGCAGTCTGCACGATTCCCAGAAACCTGAGGACACACATGTACGGTGTTGGGCTTTTGATCAGAAGAGTCAGGCCACATGTCCACACCCATGGCAACCTCAGTCTCTCCATCAAGCATGCTTACCGGGGGAAAACTGGACACTGCTTCGGCGGTGGCCACTGCTCGATTGATCACAAAGCCGCACAGCCCTGAGCTAGTCTCTACCAGTTCCATACTGGTTTCCAGCTCTGACAGCTCCACCTTTGCCGCGCCCAGGTCCAGTTTGGCTCCCAAAGCTTTAGGCACTCTTACTCAAGAGCAGGGGACATCCTGATCCACAATACTGATCCGCATTCAAGGAGTCTTAGAGGCTTGTGGAACATGTAAAGGGATGACTACGCTGTACTTGGATGCAATCTTGGGGCCAGCACCAAAACGAAAGGGTCGACTCTCGTCCACAATGTAGGCATCTAACCCCAAATTGTGCAGGTGTGTAATATGAGCTTGAGCCCATCCTTCCCCAGCTACCGAACGTGCACAGCAAGTATCTGAGAGCGCCAGTAGACTATCATGATCATGCAAGCTCGAGGTCGACACAGCACTAGCGCACCAATGTTCACATTGATAGCCCACATCGACCTCAGAGGCAGTCATGAAGATGCTAGTCGGCTCGGGCCCGTAGTCATCATCGGAATCAGACAGCTCCTGTTCCACCACTGCCAGAACTGCCCCGGCTTTCGTGGAGCTCTTGTTGAAAGGGCATTCGGGATCCCCATGCCAGTGACCGTACGAAGTACGGCCATTTGCCTTGCACGCACTGCATGGCATTCTCTGTTTGAGGTCCGCAACGCGTTTGGCCCGGGCCTCCGGAGTTTCTCCACGACCGCCGCCTTTGCCGCTGCCCGCCCGAGAGCTAAAACCACGGGCACGTTCCACCTGCGCACGCTTCTTTGCAGCTTGGGTGAGCAGCACCTGGAGCTCTTCCTCCAAGATGTCTTGATTTGCCTGGTCTTCTTCGTCCTCCTCCGGGTCTTGAAGATCACCTTCCGGCTCATCCTGCGTTGTCGCATGCACCTTGGAAGCTTTCCTCCACTGCCGGTGACGGCTGCTCCCATGCTGGTGGTTTCCTGACTGATCTTCTTCCTTGTTCACTTAAGGAACGATGGCCATGACTGCTGCGCGCAACTTGTTGTAGTCGTACTGGCCACCCGCTGCCGCTACAACTTGCTTCCGTAACTCTGGCGACAGTCCCGCCTTTTCCAGAAACCAATAGGCCTTGGTCACCCCTGTGAGGCCTGCCCCGATCTCCTCTAGACGTTGACCATGCCTTCTGAACTCCATGTCGTAGGCGACGAACTCTTGGCCTCTACCTCGACGGAATCCCTTATAGAAGTCTGCCAACGTCTGGAAAGTCCTCAAGAACTCGAGGGGCTCCAGCTCCTTCCACAGGTGATCCAAAAGCCTAGCCACCCCATCTGGGTGCTTCAAGGATTCCAGAGGAATCGACTCTGTCGCCAGTCATGCGTTGCCAGTCAGTTTCTCCATAAGTTTCTGAGCCCTGAAGCTTGGATCAATCCCTGTGCTCAACTCAAACAACTTCACTCGCCGTTGATACTCACGCATAGGTCCAGACCCATCATACTCAGGGATAAAATCTTTCCCGCTGGCCTTGGGGGCTGCTGTCGCCTTCGACGAAGATGTTGCTTCTTCATCTAGGGACCCTGTGCCTTCCCCAGCTCCCCAGGGATCATCCTCGGTTGTCGATGCTGATTGTCTCCGGCTCGCATCTGTTGCTGCGCCAGTGTTTCCACTTTCTTCAGGAGCTTCCCCACTCCTGCCATCTGATTCAGGCACACCAGTCTTCCACTGACTGCTCGAATCAGGCTCCCGTGCAGCTTGCTGCCAGCTGCCGTTTCCCCAGTATGAAGGCCACTGCCACGACCAGCCGCCATAGCCAGTCCCGCTCCAGCTGGTTCCCGCATAGGAACCCCAGCTCGTATGTATCTGGTTGCCATCGCCACGGCCCAGCTTGATTTCCAGCATGGTTGCCCCACCAGCCAGATTGCGAGTATGCTTGCCAGCTTTGGCCCGCTTGAGTCTCGCTCGAAGGAACTTGCGTCTCAGCTGCCTCGCTGCCTGCTTCAGTTGCCATAAGCACCCTGCTCCGCGGCACCAATGCAGATCACAGCCCAAAAGCCTGCCTCCTAAAGCTGCGCCATTGCAAAGCCAGCTATTTTCCGCTCTGCTGACCAGGAGCCACAGTGGCTACATCAAGGTTAGAAACATTCGGGAAGCTTCAAGCTGTACATGTCCCTCCGCCCTTTCAGATCAAGCTGCTCCGCCAACTTTGACAAATAGAGCAAGTATAACAATCAAACATTTCATAGTATGAGTAATATTGTTGGAAAGGCGGATGTCACTAGTGGGGACGCTTTATGTTTCAGAACAGCAGTGAAATTAAAACAGTATTAGAAACACAGTATAAGTTATTTATCAGAAGCAGCGATGCGTTAGGAGACATAAATATTCCTATGGAATTACGATCATTAACACCAGAGATTAAAGTAACAGACGGACAGGCCAATTTATTAGGACATGTAGCCATTACGCATTTCTGTGTATCAGCCAGTCAAAGAGTCAAAATGGATAATCCAGACAGCAGCGGACAGATATTAATGTCAATTAATAATGCTCTGATGCTTGCGATTCTCCAACATCAACAGGAACAGTGACATTTACAGGAACTGGAACATGTAGTGCTTTAGTTGCAGCATGAGATATTCAGTGGAAAGAAAACATCAAAGAAGTAAGTGACAAGAAACCCAGCCCTCCCATAAAGGCGATTT